AGTTTTGTCGTGTTCTCTTTTCCAAGTCTTCAGTATAAGAGTTCTTGTATTTGACGATGAAAAATTAATTCTATAGATCTCACGAGATTAGATCACGTCTAAATATTAGATAGGATTTGACATAATCTCTAAAGTTTTTATGAAATTATAATGTATCCCTACGCAAGTATTTAAAATTATATTTTATAAAATTAAACTTTTAGTTGTGCCCCACTTTATAAAAAGATTTATAACCACGCTCTTATGAAAAAATTGAAATAATTAATTATCTCTCTATTTAAGGTATTAAGTTACCTCTGTTTTTTTTCTTTTCACCAATATTGCCACCACTAGGGGGAAAAAAAAAAAAAGCTTCGCCATTAGCATACCAAACAGGGCCTGAATTATTACACTGCTAACTTTATTTACAATTTGAAATAGGTACACACTAATTCCTATATGAACAAGGGAGGAAAGAGTTTGTTAATGGTAAAATGTTCGAATCTCACATCGTCTGAATACAAATATAATCACAACTATATAAGCATATTGGGCTACTCTACTTAAACGAATTAATCTTTTAAGATGAAAGCCACTCGGGCTTCTATCTAAAAGGTTAACCTTAAGAAGGTAATCCAAGTCCTTTTAAATCCATTATCATTTTCATGTCTAGTCAACGTGGGATTTTCGTTCACAGATTCTCAACCATGCCCATAAAACCTACAATTGCCTAGTGGTCCCAACTGCAATGCTTTATGGAAGCTGCAATGAATGTACTCTTTTCATGTCATTTTTTTTTTAAAGGAAAGTTCCAAGTCTTCACTATTAGTCTTTGCCTCAAGGCCGAAGATGGCCAGAAAGTAGCCCCTTTTTAAAATAATAATAATAATAATAATAATAATTAAAATAATAATAATAATAATAATAATAATAATAATAATAATAATAATAATAAAGTCTTTTTATAGACTTGAAGACTTGGAAATCATTGATAAAGAGGTGGCGTATTCACAGATATGTGCCTCGTTTATTTCATCGATTTGAGTTCTCAATTTTAAGTTTTTATAGTTAAAAACTCACAAAAAAATGTCACATTTAACTTTTTCTGCTACAGTTAAAAACTCTCAGAAAATGTCACATCTTAGCTCAAATTAAAAATTTGAATCCGCGAAGCGAACGAAGCCATGATGTTTATAGATATATAACATTTACTTTTGAATTTTTTGCTCATATCTTTTTTCAGAGGGAAGTCTGCAATAAATATCTCTTTTGATACTTAATTTGCATCTGTCTTTTTTCTACGCTTGAAAAAAAAAAAAAAAGACAGAAGCGAATTAAGTATATTCAAAATAAAATTTTGCTTTTGCCATATTCACTTTTCCAAGTCTTGTATAAATGGCGATGGAAAAATAATATTATGGACCCCACGAGATTAGATGTCTAAATATCCAAGTCTTCACTAAGATCTTCAAAGAATCTTTCAGACATCTTCAAGCAAGACTACGTTGTGGGTTCCAAAGAACGTCTCATTAATTCTTTTTCCAAGGATAATTAGATATGGCTGGTTCTCTATCAAGATGTGATCAACATGTGGGCTACCCTTTGAATGCTTCCTTCAATAATTTTCTCTTATCTGCTTTTGTCATATTCAAAAATAGGTTGTCTAGAAACAAATGATGGTGACAAGGTCGTTTTCTTCCATTTCTTCTTTTGAATAAGTTTTGCTAGTTAGCTTCTAGCAATCTTAATCTTGGAAACTGCAATATGCTCTTTAAGTCATGCCTAGCTATCTGCTAGCTTCTCATGTCATATTGAATGAAACTTTGAGGCCCCGTTTGAAATGTAAACTCAAATGATGATTTAGATTCATTAACGGGAATTTTGTAAGAGATGAAATTTTAAAATTTAAATTCTTTGTTATATATAAAATACTGTAGCAGAATCACAATTTGAGTTTAAATATAACTTCCAAACAACCCCTCAGTAGCTTGTGATCATAAGAGAAAGTTTGAAATTTCTCTTCCTAAACTTTCAATGTTTCTTATCGAAAAATATGAAAAATGCTTAGAGACACTACTGGTGTAATGCCTCAACCCCCCAAGGGATCCACCTTGTAGGATCTTCGGCATAGTCAGGTCTTATACTCGTTACTCATATGTACAGTCCTCTCTGGGCACCTAGCGGCTCTCAGGAATTTCTTCACGTCCCCCAAATTAAAGTTCTTAAATCAAGTGTTGATACTAATTAACCTATGTTGGGAGTCCCGCAAGGTAGATCTCATAGAGGATTGAGGTGTTACACATGGTGTTAAGTACAACTAATATAAGGTATACCTCATTTATGGACCCATATTCTTGTAAAAATCCCTCTTTTATTAGTGTGGAGTGCTAACCAATGCCATATAACATTAGTCATACCTTTTACACAAGCTACATTCATCTTACTTATTTATTTATTTTTTACAAAGGTTAATTAATGTCAAACATACAAAACTTCGTGAACCCAAAAAAAAAAAAGAAGAAAAAACAATAGTTTCGTTGGCAGAAACAAGTAAAGCTCAAGTCTCACACAAGATCTACTCCATTTAGTGAATAGAAGCAGTTACGAATAAAAGGGGAAGAAGTAATTAAAGTCTTTAACAAAGTATGATGATGTTGTATACCTTTATCTACTCCGTGAACAAGACTGGAACCATTAATTAGGCGATATTTGGGGTTTGGCAATTAATGTAAAATGGTTGCTTCTGTAAAAATACATTTATTAAATGTGTAAGACTGATCCTGATAACCCATTCAAAGTAGTAAATTAAACATTTAATCGACACAATAATGACTTAATCACACAATTACAACACCGTTAACATATGCATTTTAGATCAAGCTCGTCTATGCGGAATCTTCTGAGAGTGTTGGTTTAAATTTTGTTTGTTTTAGTTTGAGGTAAAATTTTTTCGGCTACTTTGAACACGAAAATGAGGATTGTAGAGCGAGATTTTTCAGTTATTTTAAGGTTGAATTTATAGTTTTCCATGTTTTGAACGTTTTTCTGTGACTGTGAATAAACTCAACTTTAACTCTAAATACAAGTTTTAAGTTGTTTTCCAAAACACTGCAAAGCTGTCCCAAAACTGGACAGCCGCTGTTTGTTGCCAAACGGGGCCTTTAGAGGCCGAATCGTAGTTTCCTCCAAATACAAAAGTTTTAAATCTTGACAAGGCAAAGAATTCTCGTGGAAAACAGATTTTGAAAATCTGAATTTAAGATACAGTAAAACGTAGATTTATGAAACTTTATAGTTTTAACCGAAAAAAATTGAAATAGTTTGGGTTTTTAGCAAAAAAAGTCCATCAAAGAACCCGAGACGTGATTTCTAAAAACTATAATAGTTTTATACCACACTTCAATGGAAAGTTTTAGAGAAAATTGTCCCTAAGATTTTACGGTAAATTTACAAACTAACAGTAGAAAGACTAATTTCAATAGTATCAAAAGTAATTATTGACAGAAAATTAATTTAGAATCGATAATGAGATTTTAGTACTCGTAACTAAATAAATGAGTTATTGGTTTTATTAAATTGAGCACTGTGATTTTTAATACAAAATTTAACAACAGTTTCTTTAAAAACCTTAGTAGTTTTTGAGTAAACATCCAAACAGGAACTTACGAGCCCAATACGATAGGCCTTTAGAATTATGAGGTTATATGCAGGTCCAATGCCGGTACTGGTTCAAGAACCCTTGCTCAAGTATAAATTTTGACTGTCTAGAGTTAGAACGCCTTTATTGAGTCTTTAGGCCAATTGGGCGTTAATACCATAACAAGCCCAATAAGGTAATTTATGGAGAATTAGCTACTAGATTGAATAATTGATTAAACAAAAATTGATTTTCAACCTAGACATATGCATGTTAAGGGCAATTAAGGAAAATAAGTTTTTGAGGATTTAATAAACTGACCCTTAATGTAAATTTTTACGATCCTTTAATAAAGAAAGGGAAAACATGTCTTAAGAAAAGAATTAGATTCCTTATAACTATGCTAAATTAGAATAGTAAACATCGGTTAATCTCACACTATTAATAGGTGCCCATTTTTAGAAATGAGTAAGTAAGAGAATAGATTGTCTGGCGATTAGTGATTTCCAGCTCTGTATAACAGGTAAGTAGAAATGTCACCTACAGTATGAATAGTTTTCAAATAAGAATGTTCACATGTTGTAGATGCATGTCTATGCTTTATGTTATAGTATGCTATGTCATGTCATTCTGCATACTCATGAATAAGTCCAGTGAAACTAGTCATTTTAAGAAAATTTTTTATCACGGTGTCATTAGAAACCTGGCAAACCCTCACTTCCCGATGATTGTGTGCAACGGGTATGAACACTCTAACCCACCATGATAAGTAAGATAAGATCAGTCAATAAAATTTTAAAAGACATGATCATAAGTAAGCATAACTGGCTCATGCATATTTATTCATATGAATTTCTAGTTGTTTTGCAAGTTCCTACTTACTGACCAAAATCTCATTGTAGAATATTTATACAGTAGGTATGCAACCTGCACCTAGTGCTTGATGGACTGACGACAAAGCGGCAGACGAACGGTGCGGAGATCATGGAATGGACACCGCTCACAATTATTTTTCATATATAATTTTGCTAATTATGACTCTAGAACTATTTGTTAAATAGTTACGTTATATTTAACTGCTAAGCATATCTAAGTAAATAAGACTTAAGGACCAAGTATATACATACATATGATTTGAGAGATGAATTTGTTAAGGTATTAATATTTTGTTATAATCGAGAAAGCAATTCAAAATTGATGTTTGCTCATAATAGTGTTTTTTTTTTTTTTTAAATGTTATGCAAATTTTAAGAAATTTCAATAATATAAGTTAAAATCAACTACAACGACGGTCACAAAAATAAGTTTAACTTCCAACATTAATATGTAAGTACTAATTTTAATTTATGAGTTCGTAGTACAGAGTAATTAAGACCCCCGTTTATTGGAGTGCAATTATAATCCTCTCTCATCTTAAAAAGACGTGTATCACAAATCACACGAGAAAATTTCATTATCCAAGTTACACTTGAACTAGATACACAAATTTATTAGAACAAAAAAAAAATAATAGTGATTTTTATAGGGACATTTATAATGCTTAGACTTTAATTGGTAGTGAATATAAATCCTATACTCTTTCATCAATAGTTTCCAACTCCATAGCCATAGGCACCCTTGTCGGAATCTTGTTATTTGGGTTTGTTAGACCAACAGAGGCAAACGGATTCGGCGGCATGGTTAGTTCTTCTCCGGCTTCCAACATTTGAACAACAAACTTCATGGTCGGACGACTCACTGGATGCCACTGGATACACCAAAGTCCGACAAATGCAAGTTTCTTCGCAATTTTAGCATCAGGCTCTTCTTGAATTTTGATCATAAGCTCTCCTTCTTCTAGCATATTATAGATCCACTCGGGATAGTATATTTCATCTGCATTCTCCACTTTCCAGCCACTATTGTATTTCCAACTTCCTTTTACCATTTCAAGCAATAACATCCCAAAACTATAAACATCTGACTTGTAAGATACATTTCCAAAGTTTCTTGAGAACACTTCCGGTGCAATATATCCCTTGGTCCCTCGTGCCGTAGTCATTGACACGATACTCGTGTCCTTAGAACACAATTTCGCAAGACCAAAATCGGCAATTTTTGGAATGAAGTTTCGGTCCAGCAAAATGTTTCGGGGTTTGATATCGAAATGAAGGATCCGTTGATCGCAGCCTTGGTGGAGATACTCAATTCCCTTGGCTATTCCTAAGGCAATCTGCTGCAGTTTCTCCCAGCTTAGCGAGCACTTTTTATTGCTGGCCTTGGATGATAAATACTTCTCTAGTGAACCATTTGATAAGAACTCATAAACAAGAGCTCTTCTTAATCCATCCGCGCAATAACCAACCAAGCGAGCCACATTGACATGGTGGATCCGTCCCATTATTGCAACTTCATTGATGAACTCCACCCGATTTCCTCTTGTGTTATTGTCTAGGACCTTCACTGCTACAAGAATGTCATTGGAAAGCTTCCCTTTAAACACTGTTCCATAAGCTCCTTGTCCTAACTTCTTCTGGAACTTATTTGTGATTCTTTTAATGTCTGCATAGGCATATCTTGATGGCTGAAAAACCCTGTATTCCTCTAGAAACTTCTCAATTCGCAGTCGGTTTTCTGCATCTTTGTCTGAAGGATACGCATAAAGAATTGCGATAACTACCATCATCAGGATAACAAATGAACCTGCTGTTGAACCTGCATAGATTTTATACTAATCTGACTCAACTAGAACCATTGTGGTACTCTGTAGCATAACTACGGATATAATCATCAAAGGCTTAAATAAGTAGACAACTCACCTGCGATCGCTTTTGATTTTTTAGATGGGCCTAGAAATTAAGTCAAAACAAATTAGTCAAGAAACATATTACATACGATCTTCGAAGTTAAAAATTGAAGTGAATAAGAGAGCAGATATTGAAGTGAATAATTTTGTTGTTCTTTAAGGTGAAAGTTAGAAAGCGCTTACCTTTTCTTTGTTGGACTCTATTTTGACATTTGAATTCCTGTCCAGAGCCATTTTCTTTCTTGTGTTGTTCTTCATAATACCATGTCAGTGAAAATGGACCCATGAGTTTGCTCATGTCATTAGGATCAACTGGTGAGCCAAAGTCGTACATCTTGCTACAAGAAACGAACTGCCGGTAGTACTCAATATGGCTATTGGAAAAAACGGGACAAATGCTATGGCTATGCCCACCAGGACGGCAGGGTATCCCTGAAGGAGATGGTTGTGAAGGGCAATTCAGTAGCGTAACGTGAGAGAACCCGTGAGTGAATCGAAAAGGAGAACTTGACAGATTGATGAATTCTAAGCCGGGGTTTTTACGAGACCATTGATCATCTGGGATGTATACTCCAATTTTTTGTGAATGATAATCTATACCAGATACATAAAAATTAATTGGAACAAACGGCAGATGAAGCACCGTCTCGTTCTTACTAGTGCAAAATAGATCAAAGTCAGTGCGGCAATAGCTCTTAGGCTGGCTGTCTCTGAGTCTGAATGGGAATTTAATAGGTGTCAATTGTTTCCCACACCATGATGATTTTGTGCGATCATATTGGCTTGCTACTATGACTTTAACAATATTGACTATGAAGACGAAAAGGTGAAGAGAAGATATGGCCATTTGTGACGAACCGGAAATCTCTGCTATTGCAGACCAGAATTCAGACTGCTTCTTAGGTAGCCTGTCTTTTATGTGTTGTAAATTAATTTAGTTATAAAAACCTTACCCGCATCCATAAAAAATGAAACTAAAGTAAGAAATTTGTGGAAAGAACGGGCTTGAGAATGACTGAAAATTGACTTTTTTTTATTTTTTATTTTTGTTCCAAAACAGATGATGACTTGTGTGGTCATGGCAAGTTGCGTGTAGGATGGATAACAAGTCAGGAGAAACCATCTTTAATAAATGCTCGATTAAGATTCTTCATATAGAAAAGACCAAAAAACTGAAAGTGCCAAGGTGCGACAAGTTTTAATTGCAGTTAACAGTGTAAAGGGTAAAATAAACGCAAGTTCCACATTACTATTAAATAGTTATGAGTACTATCACTTGAGCTTCATATTGCTGAAGTTGTGCGGCAGATAAAGTGCAACCAAATGGAGACGAGCGGAAAAGTACCCTTGTTTTTCCGATTCGTTGCCCACCTAGTTGTTCTGATCATCATACTCCACAAAACAAGCTATGCCGGCCATAATAAGCAAAATTGTCCACCTTCTTCCTGTGGCAACCTCAATCGCATTAGCCACCCTTTCCGTCTTACAACCGATCCTCAAGACTGCGGAGATCAAAGGTACGAGCTCTCATGCGAGAACAACCTTCCCTTCTTATACTTGCGTATGCCTTACACACATGAAATCAGATATTACAAGTTCCATGTACAGGCAATTAATTACGAAAACTCTACAATTAGAGTTGTTGATCCCGATCTTCGGAAGGATGATTGCTCCTCCATCCCTAAAATTTCCATTAGCAAAGACGACATTTTGTTCGAAAATAAATTTGAAACAAAAATCAAGTATAATCGCGTTGCTCATGGTTGTTGGTCGCTGGAGTTCCCGCTCGATTACAATCTTATAGAGACTGTACTATTCTTGGCATGTGAAAAGCCGATGAATAGTTCCCATCTTTATAATTGGATAGACAGAACTCCTCGCGACAATAACAACTCCGCTTCGTCGCAATCCAAAAGGCTATACTCCTACGTTGTTGTCAATGGAAATTTAAGTTTCTCAGATTTGGAAGAATCATGCCGAATAGATGCAATGACTCTGATAAGGAAAGGAAAGAATCTCAACACAAGTTCCTATAGAGGTATCCACAATGAACTTGTTTACGGGTTTGAGCTTTCATGGTTACCGGGCTTGGAAATGGAGAGTTTTATAGACGGATACATTAGGACTTGCTACGTCGATGAAGACTTCAACAAGGTCCGATGCCTCACTCACTGCGGTAAGGCTTCCACTTTTATTTTATTTTTATTAATTAGTAAAGATGCAATATAGAGATCTATTAAATCAAGTAAAAAAGCCAAGTGTTTTTATTTATTCTGATTTGTCTCCAATAGAAAAGGAAACCAACATATAAAAGAGTTCCTGTTTTAATGAAAATTTTCTATATATTCTCGTGAAAAGAAAAATCAGTGACCCTTTGTTTTGTTTGTTTTTTCTTTTTCTTTTTCTTCCTACCTTCCTTCCTTCTACTTCTTCTTCTTCTTCTTCTTCTTCTTCTTGCAATAGGACGTTTCCACGTGCCAGTAAGAGGATTCCTTGGTAAGATCATTTATCCATAGCGTGAACTTTCATTGAGAATCATGATCTAACACTACTTTGCTCAGAGAAGATGATGACTTGAGAAAGCAAAGGCTTTAATTTAGACTACTTTTCATAATTTCAATTTATGGGTCTTTATGAAAAACAATAAAATAAAAGAAAAATACCTAAACAACTCCATGTGTTTTGCATAAATATCCTTTTCACTTCTTTTATTATTCAAATGCACAAAACATTATATGTGTCTGTAAATGAGTGCTTGTAAAATAAGTAACAAAATACCCCTGGAGAAATTAAATTTTTGAAAATACCAAAATTACTATTTTCTATATATATTAAATTATTTTAAATATGACTTAACTATGAATTAAATGAAAAATTTTTAAATGTTCAAACAAATATTTTCAATCAAACAAATATTTTAATTATTTTAAAGTTATTTAATATAAGTTGGGAAGGATAATCTTGAAATTTTAAAAATTTTAATTGCTTCGTGGACTTTTTTTAGATTTATTTTATAAACACAAGGGGTCTTTTAGACATTTGCATAATGAGATAAAAAAGTAGTATTTAGGCAAAACATAAAAAGCGTTTTCGTGTTTTTCCTAAAATAAAAGAAAAGTTGTTTTCAGAGTAATTTGCATCACATGGAAAGAGAAAGTAAGGAGTAATTCTTTTCCTATTTAATAATGTGATTACTTACGAAATAAATAATGAAGATTTAGTGGATTTAGTGGGCCCCTGTCACAGGGTCGAATTTTCAGCGGAATATTTTCGCCCTATGATGGCGCTAAGTCACCAAGACAAAGCCAGCCACTCAAACCTTGCTCACTCACTAAGTATTCAGAACCGATCCCAACACTTAGAATAACAAGAACAAGCAAACTCACACAAGGTAACACAAAGAAACACAAAGCAACACAGCATATAAGAGAAACTCCCAACCTTTTATTAATCCACACATAAAAGGAATACAAGTCTGCTGCAGGGATCACACAAGCTCAAAACGTGTCCTCTGCCTTTCTCAACTTAGCTATTTATAGCCGGAATATGGTTGACAACCCCAGCCACCTAGGTTTAGTTGGCTCACCAACTCCCGCCAAGTGTTCCCACACTTGGGCGCATACCAAACCCCCTAACACGTCCCCCTGCATGCGATAGCATCACTCAGGCCTATCTCAAAGCCACTAACTCGGTTTGACCCAGTCTGCCATGTTTCTCGGTCATGGGCAGCAAGTCCCTCTGTTGGGCACGCCACCTGGCACACGCGCGCCCTATGATCTCATGCACCCAGTGATCCACTCCCCCATGTTCCTCAATCATGGGCAGCAAGTCCCTCTGTTGGTCATGCCACCTGGCACACGCGCGTCCCCACAATCTCGCGCACCCGCTGATCCAGTCCCACGGATCTCGCGCATGCTTAGCAGTTGTGCCGCGCCACAATGTCCACACAACCGTAAATCTAGCACCAGCACCAAGGGTCCATGCCTGCGCCCAGTCAGCACGCCATGTGGCCCACCTGCGCCTATTTCAGCCTTTGTCTGAATCAACCCGCCCAGGTTTACCAGTGTGTGCAGCCTGCCTTTCACGCATGTGCTGGCTCCTGCCAGCGCGCACTGCCTGTGCAGTCTTGCCTATGTGCGCGCGCTGCCTCTTGCCAGCATGCATTGTCTGTGCGCTACGCCAGCGCTATGCTCCCCTTGGCATGACACTCACTTGGTCCACACTCGCGCGCGGACCATAGCCAATCTAGAAGGGTCTGACAAACCCACCCCCGCCGAATGAAAGCCGACTTCCCCGTCGGCTAAGTTGACTTAACCATGTGCTCTAACACACTTTTTCCCATACTCCTTAAAGCCTCCCGCATCCCTCAAGCGAGTAACACCACGAGGCTTCCAAATACCTTCACCAACCCACCTCTCAAACGCTGCCGTCCGTCGCATGCCGCTTGAAGTTGATGAAGTTTTCCCGCCACCAAGGCTACATCTCCATGATTGTGAGAGCCCCCACCCTCACAACCTGACTCTCCGAGTCATCGTCTCCCTCTGAAGACTCCACAACAATGGCATTCAACTGCTGCCTCTTGGGACACTTTCTTGCCCTATGTGGCCCATCACAAATGAAGCACCCCTGCTTCGCCACCTTCTCAGGTTCCTTCCCCTTAGAACCCAGTTGTGTGCCACTAGATTTTTGCCCCATCACAGAAGATTGAAGTTTACCTGCCCTACTGCCTCTGTCCTCGCTCCTTGCCTTCGTCTCGTTGGCAAGAGGAGGCCCATAATCCACCAAACTGTCTGCTACCGCCATGGCAGAAGCCAACTCCTTGACCCCCAGCCTGTTTAACTCGACTTGTGCCCAAGGTTGCAACCCCGATATGAAGTTGAACAACTTGTCCTCCTCAGACATGTTATGAATGTCTAGCATCAACGAACTAAATTCCGTCACATAGGAGCGCACCGTATCCGTATGCCTTAGTTTCTTCAAGGCATCCCTCGCAAGTTAACTAGCATTCAACGGTAGGAAGTGAATCTTTAACTCCTTTTTCAACGCACTCCATGTCTCAATCCGTTGTCACCCAACATTGACATCATCTTGGACATGAGTTCGCCACCACAGCTTGTTGTCTCCAGCAAGATACATGCTCGTCATGGTCACTTGCTCATGTTCGGGAATATGAGTAGCTTGGAAGTATTGCTCCCCATCCCACAAGAAGTTCTCTAACTCCTTTGCATTCCTAGCTCCCTTGAAAGGAATTGGTTCTGGTACTCTGATTTTGGGGTTAGTTCCCTCCCTGCTCTTTGACACCATGGCCACTGCCAATTTGACCAGAGATACCTCCATCTCGAGTCTAGTAACACTCTCCGTCACCTTGTCCACCATAGACACAAGGTCGCCTCGCAAAGTGTCCATCTGCTCGATGTGACTTTTGAGCCTGTCCCCAATAGACTCTTGGATGCTCCTCAAATCCGCCTCTTGCAACTCCACCCGTGCTGCAAGTGATATGGATTCATCCTCTTGGGGAGACCCAATAATCTCCTCTAGCCGTGCTACCTTTTCTTTGAGTTCAGCGATGCCACCACCCGCCATCGGATGTTCTTCTTTGTCTGTTCTCGAACGAAGTTTCGAATGCCAATCACCACATCCTCCCTCGAACGCGGCTCTGATACCAAACTGTCACAGGGTCAAATTTTCAGCGGAATATTTTCGCCCTATGATGGCGCTAAGTCACCAAGACAAAGCCAGCCACTCAAACCTTGCTCGCTCACTAAGTATTCAGAACCAATCCCAACACTTAGAAAAAAAGAACAAGCAAACTCACAAAAGGCAACACAAAGAAACACAAAGCAACACAACATATACGAAAAACTCCCAACCTTTTATTAATCCACACATAAAAGGAATACAAGTCTGCTGCAGGGATCACACAAGCTCAAAATGTGTCCTCTGCCTTTCTCAACTTAGCTATTTATAGCCGGAATATGGCTGACAACCCTAGCCACCTAGGTTTAGTTGGCTCACCAACTCCCGCCAAGTGTCCCCACACTCGTAAATCTCGCACCAGCACCAAGGGTCCATGCCTGTGCCCAGTCAGCACGCCATGTGGCCTACCTGCGCCTATTTCAGCCCTTGTCTGAATCAACCCACCGAGGTTTACCTGTGCGTGCAGCCTGCCTTGCGCGCGTGCGCTGCCTCTTGCCAGCGCGCACTGCCTGTGCAGTCTTGCCTATGTGCGCGCGCTGCCTCCTGCCAGCGCGCACTATCTGTGCACTATGCCAGTGCCATGCCTCCCCTTGGCATGACACTCACTTGGTCCACACTCGCGCGCGGACCATAGCCAATCTAGAAGGGTGTGACAGCCCCACACAATATAGGAAATGAGAAAAAAAAATGTCAATCCTTGCGTCTCTTTTAGTATTGATTCCTTGTCAAAGGGAATGAATGCTAGATTTACTTACCCAGTCTTAATGAATTACTATACGAATAATGATTACTAAGTTGGGTAAAAGGGCATTTTAGTGATTATATTAATAACAAAGAAAGGGAATGGCATTGTTTCCCATTACACTATCTAATAGTAAAGTAATACTAGAAAGGGAATGAATGACCCTTAATTCTACTACTTTATTTTTCTTTCTAATCCAATTACGTTTCCCATTACATTCTTTTATGGTTTCATGAATGCACCTTAATTTTGAAAGACTTAAAAAAGAAACACAATATCACGCGTCCACATTCGTATATGTATGTATATAATTCTTTCAATAGTTTTTTTTGAACAAATTGTTCATAATTGTTTTCGTAAATTTACAGAGATACTAATACCACCGAGAATCATGGCTGCCATGCTTGTGATTTCCTATTTGATATACAAGTGGAAAAGGCGGCATCTATCGGTATATGACGGCATAGAGGAATTTCTCCATAGCTATAGTGATTTGATACCTGTAAGATACTCTTCATGGGACATTAGAAAGATGTCCGGGGGCTTCAAGGATAAATTAGGCGAGGGAGGCTTTGGGTCTGTATACAAGGGAAACCTTTCTAATGGTCGCCTCGTAGCAATAAAAGTGTTGGCCGGTAAATCCAAGGCAAACGGGCAAGACTTCATCAATGAGGTTTCTACTATCGGAAGGATTCACCATGTCAACGTCGTGCAGCTAATCGGTTTCTATGTTGAGGGATCAAAGCGAGCTCTTATTTACGAATTCATGCCTAATGGATCTCTAGACAAGTACATTTTCCCAAAATCAGGAATAACTAATTATTCCTTAGATTCCAAGAAAATATTTGAGATTTCACTCGGCATTGCTCGTGGAATTGAGTATCTTCATCGAGGATGTAACATGCGAATTCTGCATTTTGATATTAAGCCTCACAACATTCTCTTGGATGAGAACTTTATTCCCAAGATTTCAGATTTTGGACTCGCAAAAATGTGCCCACTAGAAGATAGTCTAGTGTCTTTAACTGCGGCAAGAGGAACATTCGGATACATTGCTCCAGAGTTATTTTACAAAAACATTGGAGGAGTCTCTTACAAAGCTGATGTCTATAGTTTCGGAATGTTGTTAATGGAAATAGCAAATAAAAGAAAAAATTTAAATGCAAATGCTGAGGATTCAAGCCAAATTTACTTTCCTTCATGGATATATGATCAATTTAGTAAAGGAAAAGACATGGAAGTGGCGGACGCAACAGAGGAGGAATCAAGAACAACAAAGAAGATGATCATAGTAGCATTGTGGTGCATACAATTGAAGCCTTGTGATCGTCCTTCAATGAACAGAGTCATAGAAATGCTCGAAGTCGAACTTGAATCCCTACAAATGCCGCCAAAGCCTTACCTATATCCGCAAGAGGAAGAACAAGAGAGGCACAACGTTGAGGATGCTGCGGACAAATCATCTTCATCAACATTATCATAATAGAATTCTAAAGAGCCGAGTTTGGTCTCAAATGCCCATTAAGAAAAGTAGGTAAGAACCCTATCTATTAATGCATGATATAATCCTCTGTAGTTTCAGCAAAATAATAATTATAATAATAATAATTTTTAGTCCTCTGTATATTTAATTTGCTTAGTCGATACTTATGATTTACATCTAATATTGATTAATCATATATACAAATTACAATCGTTTCAGGTCTTCCGCAATATCTTCTTTAGCAAATTGGTGTATCATGAAAGCCAGGTAGAGAGCGTTGCTACAAGAATTGGCTCTTGATTTTATACGTATCAACAAAATGTCAATTTATGCTACAAGAATTGGTCCATGATTTTATTACGTATCAACAACTTTTCAATAGATTGACTTTATGTTGGAATGGGTCATGTATGGGTACCTGCTCCTAAAAGAGCGGATATGGTGGATACTATATGGGGAGTGGGGGCAGGTATGGGGTTAATTCTAATCCCCGAATCGGGAATGTTACGTACTTTTATTTTATATTACATATACAAAAATCCTAAAATTTATGTATAATAACTAATAATAATAAAGAAAAGGGAAACTACCAAAAAGAAAAAGAGAAATAATCCTTTTAAATTATAATATTTTTCTATTATAAATAACAAATTTTTATTAGACATTAATGAGTATGCTACTAAATTTTATAATTAATTTAATGATGTTTGCATTGAGTTTTTTCTTTCTGGGTAAGGTATGGGAATAGTTCCCTCAATAAGGATTTCTCGACCCCGATCCTACTTAAAATTAGAAGGGTATGAAGGCAAGTATGGGGGATAAAATAAGAGTAGGGTATGGGGGTGGGGGGAGTATTCCAGCCCTCCTCGTCTTGCCCGATTCTCATCCCTATACATACCTTATTTTTTTTTTCTTTTTGTTTTTACTTTCTCCAAGTTTTCTCTCAGATATTTAAGTTTTACCCCATACGTTTAGTATTTTTTTTTTTCCTTAAGTTTCTGGTCCACTAAATGAGAAACTATTAATAATGGCAGATACATTTCACGTGTCATGACCGAGAAATTTATCGAAATTATTGTATAGGATAATATTTCTTAAAATCCTTTGTATCATTAATATAAATATTTTCATGATAACTATTTGTTGATATAAGTATGAAATAGCAAGTTATAAGTTAAAGTTCATAAATTTCTGAACTACGATGCAGTTACCGATTTTTGGACTGTATTTAAGAAAGAAGTATGGAATGTTGTGTAAAGCCCACAAGTGGGTAAACACATGAATGATAAGTTTAAGAAATAGAAACGAATTGAAAGACATCAATTATAAGGTTTTCAAAACGATCGGAATGAAAAACGGATGAAAAAGGGGTTCGGAAGGCCGAACCAAGAAAATTAGGGTTTCGACTGATTTGAGTTGACCAATTCAAAATTTTTTGACCAAGAGTTGACCAAAACATCACTCTTGAAAAGTTAGTCAATAATGGTCAAGGTTGACTAAGTTGACCAACTGTTCGAAAAACGCATATAAAACGTGTACCGGATAGGAATTAAACTGAACCAAAATAGGATAATTATTAAATGATCAATGGTTGAGATTAAAAGTGAAAAATTAGAAGGTGGCCGGCCAAGACTTAATGGAGAAGAAAATGAAAGATATTTTTGGGATATTTTGTGGAATTTTGCACAAAGGTCCTTGGAAAAGTCAAAATTGCATTTTTGGCTTTTGCTTTAGGTAATGGTCGGTTCGTTAAAGGCATATTATGTGAGAAATGGTTATTTCTCATGCATAAGAACAGAGAGCATCAGCCAAGAGAGAAAGAGGAAAAAAAAAATTCCAAAGTGAAGGAGAAACGAGATTTAAGCAGAAATTGTCGAATCTACCGAGGAATAGCAACACCGAAGCTTGTTCTTCACTCTCTAAGGTGAGATTTACAATTTTTCCTCTCATTTCTTCACTATGGCTGCACGTGGAGGTTGTAGAAAGCATGAGGAAAATTTCACTTAAGTATGGTGGTTAGTCTTTAATGGTTAAGGAACTTAAAATGGATGAATCAATGATAGATTCTAGGTTATTTGATCTTTGTTTCTATCAATTTTTGGTATGGAGAAAATTTATGGAAATATGAGGAAACCCTAGAAATTGTTGTGTAATTGAAAGAGAAAGTATGTGAATGGTGTTTGGTGGTGGAAACAACAGATAAAATAAGCTAAGGTTAGCTCGGGAAACATGCAGAAATAGGCGGAACTCTGCCGGAATTTAGTTTGAGTAATTTGAAGTAAAACCGGGTCTCAAGAGGAAAAAAGGATTAAAGTGTGAAAGGGAAGGTGTTTTGATAATCGGTGAGGTATAGAAATCAAACACAACGAGAATTCAAAGTTTTGGACTGAAACTGAAAATTTGGCCATGATTGAGGAAAGTGCACGGTTTTAGTGCAAATTCTTGAGATAAGAAATATTTTGGGATAGAATACCAAACATAAGGATTGTAGACCTTTCCGAAGTGAATTTTAATGTAATTATTGATCTTAGATTTTGAATCTAACGATCAAAAAATTTATGCAATAGGATCGATTAACGATTGAAGTCGGAAAGCGTCAAGTGAGACAACGGACGCGTCGTTAGCGAAACTTGGGTAAGTACAATAGTTTCTCTATGGCTATATCACAAACAAGCTTATTTTTCTATGTTGCACAAAAATTGTGCATATGCTAGAATTTTGAATGTTAGATACAATGTGAATGTTAGATAGATACAATGTTTAGTTTGTATCGATGTTAAGTCAATGTCAAGTTACGAGAAAGAGTTAAACTTTAACGAAAACTTAATCTCATGATAAATTGCTCAATAATGCACAAATTCATAAGATTTAACTAAAGTTACCATTTCAATGAGAAAATTGATAAACGATAAGAGACCAAACATCCTGTTTGTACCAGCCTTCGAAGGAAAGGTTAATATGAGACTATGAAAGAAATAAAACTGTGATTGAGTTGGATTGGTTAGCTACCCCACTCCTCACTAGTTATGCGCGCTATGGTACAACAGGACATGGCCCATAAGAAGTAAAAGACAAGAAAATGAAACACAGAACCATTCCATATAAAGGTACGGTATCTGTAAAGAAGAATGAAAAGAACATAAATGATACATGTTTTAGTAGTACAGAATGTATTAGGATTTATGACATGAATGCATATATGGGTATGCATAATTATGGCATCTATTATGACCTATTGATATTTGCTGAACGAAAGCTCATTAAGTTTGTTCGTGCTGTAGGAAGCTCGGGTAAGGCACCGGCTCCCTGAAACTTGTTGCGGGGCATGTAGAGAGGATGTAGCAGCGGAATGTGGGCAAGTGGGTTGTGGATGTATCATGTATTTAGGAACGCTGCGGAACTTTATGTGTAAAATGAGATAGTGTTTTATGAATATAGATGACTTATGTAACAAAAGAACAGTTCATGAGACAATGAGGTTATGTATAGCAACCTCTAGTCATAAGGTATGGTTAATGTAACAGAATGCTAAAAAATATCATGAGAATGCTACAACATTTCATGAATAGTTAAAACAGAATGCTAAAGCATTTCACGAGAATGCTACAACATTTCACGAGAATGCTACAGCATTTCATGAATAATTGAAAACAGAATGCTACAGTATTTCATGAGAATGCTACATCATTTCATGAATAGTTGAAAACAGAATGCTACAACATTTCCCGAATAGTTGAAACAGAATGTTGCAGCATTTTACGAATGAAAATAGAATGCTAGCCGCTACAGCATTTAAACGTACATGGTAAAAAAAAAAAAATCGGCCTGAATTTTTATGAGGTTATAACTAGTGAGTAGTAGAGGTTAAGAAATGTTAAGTATGAACATAGGATGATGATCAAAAGTTAGGGCCGTCACATTATGTCTCCAAAAACAGCCCTAATGTATCATTCTAAAATTATCAAAGACACATTGTACACAGAGTACTAAAATATAATTTTTCCTATTACAAACTTTTAAAATTAAAATAAGAACACATTAAAAATAAACATTCTTATGTTTTTTGATAAGATTTTGTAAAAATAAATGACAACCCTTTGCGACATCCACTAAGAAATAATATCTACCCTTTAATGACAGGTTATCACCTTTTAGAGTTCCAGGTGACGATCATTGAAGATACATTGAAGATCTGAAATCAGATTTTCCTGAAGATTTGGTATTCAAGATTTAAATCCTGTTTGCATAATTTGTGTCCAATTTTACACTCAAAAGAAAAATGACAGAAACAGAATTTTAAGAATGTTAGTATATAATAAATAGTAAATTGTGAGTGTGTAAATAGTGAATCTTTCTTTTATTTTATTTCAGTATATATAATAATATGTAGATACGTGAAGGTGGTGTGCCTTACGTGAAAAAAAAAAAAAAAAAAAAAAAAAAGAGAATTGCTATATGAGTTTTTGTGGTTTAAACGTTTTATTTTTCCATTATAAAACCTGGGCCGCAAAACAGTTTTCGGAGCCTAATTCTTACGGACTTGGATCCTCTGTCCAAAAAAGGCTATCTCAAACCGACTTTCCATGTACTTTTTCCCTCTCTCTCTCTCTTTATTTCCCTCTGAAACGTCTGGAAATGGATGATAATCTACTCAACCCTTTGTGACCCTTTTCTCTGTGATAATCTAATTAACACATAAATGTGAAACTAAAAGCAAATGATTTCATACTTTCAGTCCGATGAACTCCTCTCTCCTACGCCCAAGATGATTCGAGATTCAAAAATTTTTATTCAAAAAAATAGGGGAAGTATGCTCTTGGCAGGAGGAGAAAACGGAAAATAAGAGAAAACGAAAAGGCCAAGAGGAGAGAGAAGACAACAGACGGAGTTAAACTCTCCTACATTGAATGACATGGCTTGTTTTGATTCGTGGACATGGTTTAGGACAGTTTTTTTTTTTTTTTTTTTTTTTTTTTGGACAGAGGATCCAAGTCCAATGGCTTCGAGAGAATCTTTTTTATTGTGTTCTTCGGGAGATGAAACTGTCTTTCTTTGGGAGAATAAGTTTAATTTACTTTTTACTGTTTATAATTTGTATCTCGTTTTAACCATACTTCTATGAATAGGGAAATTAGTTTAATTTACTTTTACGTTTATCAAGATAAGCATATGCTGTTGAAGTTTTGGGAAAATGCTACCATAAATTATTGCTGGTAATCAAAATTATCATCTCAGAAACCAAATTGATCTTACGTTTCAAGCATAAGAAGCTCTAAGAGAATGTTCAGAACTAGAGTATATTGATAAAAACAAAGAAACACATAAAGTACATAAACTAGGTGCTAGAATATTAGACTAGTGGATAATTAGATGGAGCTAGATTTTAGCTTCAATTTTTTCTGTAAACTCACAAATTGAAAATTTTTTCATATCTTTTAACATCATGAATCTCTTGGGATATATATATATATATATATAAGGCTTTTGAGGCCTTTTGTAGGCATTCAAATTATTTTTCAGCATGATCTCTGTCACTTTTTTCATCTACTAGGTTTGAGTCTTTTACACCATAATGCTACTAGGTTCATCTTTTTCTTCTTTTTTTCCCCCTTTTTTTCTTCCGGTTCCTCTTCAAAAGCACCATCTATTTCAATCCCCTTTCTTTTCCATGTTGGAAAGAAATTTCGCTTTCAATTCTCCACATATGCGTTTACACTTTTCCTTCTATTTTCCATTTCAATCAACAACATTCGAAAGCTATAGAAATCAGCTTTATAGAGGATCTCTCCAATGTTTCTGTAAAACAATTCTGGATTTTTGAACTTGTCTGCTCTTGAAATGAGATTCTCTTTGCAGCCCTAATAAGTAATACAATTCAAACCAGTATACCAAAACAGAGCCATAGTAGACCTTTGTGTAAATTTATGGACCATGATTTGGATGTATTCTCACAGTTCTTGGTTTCTTGAGATTTTTTATCTTTTGAATGTTCTTTTTCGGTTCTTGCAAGAGATATTGAACAAAATTTTTGACTATTAATAAAGATTTATTTATTTAAGCAAACTGAAAGTCTGAGACTGTCATTCTAAATCTTTAGGTCATGCATGTAATGTGAAGAACATGCGGAAGACAAGAATCTAAAGATGATAGTCTAAATCTTATGATCCACAATCGAGTGAATAAAGTTGGGCGCTTTATTCATGTTAAGATTGTTATGTTATCTACTTCCTAACGGAGACGGCTTGTCTTGGTCGTCGGAGGTAGAACTGTATTGGTGGAGACATTGATATAGTTTTTAATGGTGAAATCTATATTGGATCAGACCAAAGTTAAATTGTTTTAATTAATAATTCTGTTTGAATAAAACAATTCACTTTTGACGAATTATATGTTGTCATCTTAATACTGAGATGGATGATGAACCCGTATGCTTGAGTTGTATCCTTTAATGTACTAAAGGGAGACATCCTGACATTATGTAAAGGTACGCTTGCCGGTACATTGGGGGTATGACTCGTGTATGCGTAGATTCGTTATTCATAGATAGTGGAATCCATAGCTCCTCTAAAGAGTCAATGATATCCTCTTATGCATTATCAATGGATTGGAAAATACGAGCGCGCGGCCAGTAGACTACTTTGTGTTATCTAATGGTTTACTGTTTGTAATGGTATGAATAGTATTTTTCTGATGGTATGATAATGGAACATGAGATAAATGTAATCGGGAAAGTAAAACGGAACTTGACCTCAAGTCGATTATGGATATCCTATGGGGATGATACACTAATATATTGAGTCATGGACTAGAGCTAATCAGAGCTTTGTAAATACGCTATATAAATCGAGAGTGCAGCTCTAGGCTTTTAGTGGAATAGCGCTAGAGTTTTATAATCATGAGACAGACTTGTTGGTTTACAAGTAGCGTTGTGATTATAGGAGCTTGATCTATATATGTCCATTGGGTCCCTTTGCTAACTCACATAATTTCTTGTAACGATACTGCATATTTCCTACACATTGGTAACTTGTGTTATTTCCGTAAAAGAAGTTCAAAGTTAATTCATGGGTGATTTATTGGGTGAATTAATTGATAAATTATTTCTAGATAAATTGGTTGAATTATTGTTTTAAGAGTTGTTTAATATGGGAAGACTATTATATGACTGTTTCGATCAAGCAATTTCTCTATTGGGTTGCTTGAATCAAAACTGAGGCTCTATGCAAGTTTCCCGTGTTGAAAAAACTTGGAAAACAACTTTCGTCAGTGTAGATAGGTCGACCGGTTGGGTAGACCGGTCACAGGTCGACCGGTCCGGTCGACCGGTTCATGAAGGACAGGTCGACCGGTGAGTTATAACGTCTCTGTCACCGGTCAACCGGTTGTAACGTAAAATGCATGCTGACGTGGCAAAATTGACTCTGGATGCGATTATAACTTTAGGAAACCTAATTATTATGGAAGTATGACTTCCTAAACACTATAAATAGCCTATTAAGTCACATTACTCATTAGATCACTTGAGAGACTTTTTGGAGGCTATTGATATAAGATTTCTAAGAGGAAAAATTGTTTAATTCTCAAGAACAATTTTTTCTTTGGCTCTCTTGTGATTGGAAGGAGATCAATGATACCAAGAGGAGATTGAACGACGTGTGCCCACCTGCACTCCGATCATGGAAACGAGAATAGCAAAGAAGACCAGTTGGTTAAGGCTCTTCTGGTTGCTGTTTGGAACGCTTTGATCTGTCAGACGTGCAGTTTCGTAAATCTCAAAATGTATGATTTAGATCTTTAGTATTTATGTTATATAGCATCATGAACATGTTCTTGATTGGCTTTGGCATTGATTTAAATTTTTAAAATTCCGCTGTGCACTCGATGCCATTATTATCCAACACACCCTTGCCGATTTTGAACTCCGCAGATGTGAATTGGGAGATGGCTGCAAATGAATAGAATCAGTTCATTAGTACTTAGTTCAAATAAGATGAAATTCATATGCTTGGAAATTGATGTGTTGGAAGGATTTTTTTAGTATATTGTATCCATTATATTGTGAGGAACTGAACCAGGGGAGTTAATTAGCTTGTGTAGGTTTAAGAAAGATAGAAAACAGTTAAAGGCAGTAGTTGGTGTTAGGTAAAAACCGATAACAAAGACAAAAATTACCCCCATCTTGGCCCGCCCTTGAAGCGGAATTCCTTTTGCAGCCTTGGTTGTTAGTAGAATTATTCTGCTGAACTTCAGGGGAAATGCTACTATAAATAATTGCTGATAAAAAAATTATCATCCCAGAAGCAAATTTAACTTGTTTTTCAAGCATAGGAAGGTCTAAGAGAATTTCAAACTTAAAGACTTAGAATCAAAGTATATTGATAAATACAAAGAAAAGCATAAAGTACATAACGAATAGCTAGAATATTAAGCTAGTGAATAAAATGGAGCTGATGGATTTTAGCCTTCTCCTATAAACTAAGAAATAGAAAAATTTTTAAATCTTTTGACATGCATTTCAGATAATTATCGCTAGACTTCTCGTCAAATAGTGTTGATGACCATGTTTCTAATATCTCTAAAATGCCATCTGCATCATGATTCTTTGGAGACAGATGCAAGGCTTTGGTGCACCGCAGGCACGGCAAAAACTCGTCCCGGCCCAGAACTGTTTAATGTGTTCATGATATTCCCTCTATTCACCATTTCGATTAACAATACTCCCAAACAATAGACATTAGCTTTGTTGGAGACACCTTCAAGTGTTCCACAATGTTTTTGTAAAACAATTATGGATCTATGTCGCCAATGGTTCCTCTTGCTGCAGTCGTGATCTGATTCAATATTTTTTATATATGAAAGTTTTAAAATCTCATTCCAATGCGTTTAGATTTCATATCCAAACAACTAGTTGCAATCTCTAATCTCATTTAAAAGAAAAACAACTAAATTTTAGATCAGAGGCTGTAAAACATAATCATTGTCTTCTACATAAACGATGAGAGAAGAAAACTAGCATCAAAGAAATGAAAAACATTACAACTAGATTGGCACTCAAATCCATTCATATCTAGTACTAAACCTCCTACTCTAAACTTATCAAACGAAGGAAATCAAATGAAACGAAGTTCTGAGTTACTGCCCGAAGGCTACAAGCAATAAGCCAAAGAGAATAACAACTCCAAATAACTGAAACATACCATAAGTACTATTCCTACAATACATTGTATCATTTAAATTGCATTTGAGATTAAACTAGCGTCAGTGGAGTCCTCTTCTGGTGATGAAGAGCATGTTGCATTTGCTGTCTCCCTCTCATCGTCTGATCTATTGTGGTTCTCTTGTGGATATAGGCAAGGCTTTGGAGGCATTTGTAGGTGATCAACATCGGTTTCCAGCATTTCTATGACTAATCTCATGGAAGGGCGATCGCAAGGCCTCATCTGGATACACCATAATGCAACTATTACCATCTTTTTTATCATCTTCAATTCCTCTTCCGCGGCATCTTCTATGATCTCTAAGTCCTTCCCCTGGCTAAATTGGTCATAAATCCAAAAAGGAAAATAAGTTGCACTTGAATCCTCCCCCACATACCCATTTTTCCTTCTATTTGCCATTTCCATCAACAACATTCCAAAACTATAGACATCAGCTTTATGAGAGATTCCTCCAATGTTTCTGTAAAACAACTCAGGAGCCATGTATCCAATAGTTCCTCTTTCAGTAGTTAAGGACTCTATGCAATTGTCTAATGGACATGGTGTCGCTAGTCCGAAACCAGAAATCTTTGGAATAAAATTCTCATCCAGTAGAATGTTGTGAGGTTTGATATCAAAATGTAGAATTTGCATGTCACAACCTCGATGAAGATACTCGATACCACGAGCGATTCCATGTGAGATCTCAAATATTTTCTCAAAACTCAAAGAGCAATTTGTTCCTTCTCTTAAGAAGATATATTTCTCGAGAGATCCATTAAGCATAAAGTCATATACAAGAGCGCGCTTTGAACCCTCAACACAAAAACCGATTAGTCTCACCATGTTAATATGGTGAATCCTACCAATGGTTGCGACTTCGTTGACAAAGTCCTGTCCACTATCTTTCAATTTGCCCAACATTTTAATTGCTACGAAACCGCCGCTGCGAAGTTTGCCTTTAAACACAGAGCCAAAGCCTCCTTCACCTAGTTTAGTCTTGAAGCCTTCCGTCATCTTTCTAACCTCCGAGTATGCATATCTTATAGGCATTAGGTTATTATGACTCTGGAGAAATTCTTCAATGCCCTTGTTTATTGATAAGTTTCGCCTTCTCCACTTATAGATGACAAGGCCAATCAGAAAGGAGATCCCAGCAATCGTTCTTGGTGTTAGTATTGTCAGTAGTGTCACTACAGCTGTAAATTAAATTAGGAAAATATTTATTCTTTTTCCAAGAAAACCTAAAGTACTGTAAATACTAACACAATAAAAATAGAAAATATGTTCATCATACATTGCATTTCCATGCTATACCAGTTGTCTCCAAATTTTCTCCCCATTTCTTCTATTAGCAATCCAACTGGAAAAATTAATACAGAAGATGATGAGCCATAAGTTTTCGTTTGTTTTTGTTTTTTGTTTTAACCCGAAATCTAACATATAGTATCATATTATCTGGCCCTTTGGGGATTCTCATATATATAGTTCATATCAGCTAGTTCCGATTTCGGAGAAAGTGATTTATGTTGTGAAAATTTACTAGCAACATTATTTGTTGAGGCAATTCATGGTAAAACCACATGTTGGGCGCGTATAAATAAGATATTGTGTTTTCCTTACGCATATTTAATTTCTAATAATATACAAAAGTACACTATTGGATTTACTCTAGTCACAAGATAAACATCATTTTGTTCTACATATAGCCAAAACCTATAACAGCAATCTATAATCATATAAACAACATTTATAATTTTATATTTTTAAGGCTTATTTTGCCAGGGATGTTCATGTTGACTGTCTTGTTGAGTAGTTGGCGATTCTTTTACCTTTCAGCGTTTTCCACCTAAGTTAAGACCATTTTCAATAAAAATGCTGATCTAATTGTATATTTAACATTAAAAAAAATATGATATGGTATGTTATGTTTATTTTTGCTCTAATGTATAATGCTATTTAAAATGTTAAATCTATCTTTTTTTCATAATCACAATTAATCTTTTAAAAGTTGTAAAAGTGAACATTTATTTTTAAAATAATTGGAAAATGAAAAAGTTGTAATGATTATATAAAAAAGTAAACATTTTAATCAATAACAATCAAATGTCAAATTTCCCATATGCTATGCTTAGAGCATCTCTAAGGAAACTATCTAAATTGTAGTTAAATTTTAGCTAATTAGAAAGCTATTTTAGCTAGTAATTTTTGGGTGATACACTCCAACCACACTCTTTATTTTAGCTAAGCATAGATTATATTAATATTTCTTGAGTTTAAAAATATAAATAACTTTATTGAATTTATAAAGAACCTTTGCACTTGTTATGGTTTGAAAGAATAAAATAATGAAAAAAATTAAATGTTTAGCCCCTTCTTGCTAGTTTCTAAAATAGCTAACCATTTAGCTAATGGTTAGAGTGGAGAAAAGCTAAATTCTAGCATGAAATAACATGAAATAACTAGCATGGTTGGAGATGTTCTAGTGGGAAATTTATCACTATAGCATATGAGAAATTTGGCACAACATATAGCAGTGCATTAGATAATGTTTTTACACTCAAATATTAAATTTATAATTAATACATCAATTATTGTACTAAGTTTTATTAAATTTAAGCGTTTTTGTTTAGATTTTTTTGGATTTTTTTATTACTACTATCTCTCTCTTTTTTTTTTTCTTCTTATTTTGAGAATCTTTTGCGTTTATTTTGTTTTATGTTAATAATATTGGGTGAGGCCTCAGTACGGGATAAGATGTTTCTAGTACGCAGGTGACAGCATGATGGTTGGAATTTGTTAAGTCTACTTTGATACTCTTTGTCTTCTCTTTGCATTTAAAAAAATAATAATAAGAATTAAAAATCTATAGTTTGTTTCCTTCTTTTCATGTCTCTCTAATTAACGTCATGTGTAAAAGAAAAGGTCTTACTTGTCCCTTGGTATGCAGCGGCGATATATTCTGGAATATGTAAGCATTTCCACGAGGAGTCGCCTAGGGAAAAAAGAAAGAGAAAACTGAGCAAATTTAAAGTATACTTAAGAAATAACATGGAGTGATGAGATTGAGTACGGGAGTATTCTCACATGTATCACCAATTTTGTAGCCAATCTTTGTCAGAGTTTCTTCAAACCCTGCATGACGCACAATAAGTAAATACATGTGTGTATATATGTATTATTTAATAAAGCAAAAAAAAAAAAAGTCTTGTAGGAAAAAATGAGAAAAATGGGGGAAAGTTATTACAACACTACAAGAAAAAAAGAGCGGTAGCGGCAAAATTATTGACCGTAAATGAAACAGTTATATTCACACGGTAAACTACTATTTATTTCAAATAATTTTAAAATTTACTATTTATTTAATTTATTTTAAAAAATATGCTATTTATGACATTCTCCTTTTATTTTATTTGGTTTTTTTAAGGGCCCGCACCTTTTATTAATGAAATAGGAAAATACAAATTGTTCAAAGAGAAAAAAAAGAAAAAAGAAAAAATGTAAGGGAAAATATTATGTGCTGCGGAATGATTCAGTGATCATAAGTATTAAGTAGTTTTGGAAATCCTTACAATCTCTAATTTTTCTGCCAATCTTTGCCAGTGTTTCTTCAAACCAAGCATGACACACAATAAGGAAATACATGTATATATATGTATTATTTATATATATGTATATGTGTATAAAGCAAAAGAAAGTCTATTAGGAAAGGGAAAAGTTATTACAACACTACAAGAAAATAGGGCTTTAGCAGCAATCTAGTGATCATAAGTATTAAGTATCGAAGAAAAAGGGCTAGCAGCAATCTTGCTTACTATGTGCTGCGGAATGATTCAGTGATCATAAGTATTAAGTAGATTTAGAAATCCTTACAATTTATTGATCGGGAGCAACTTGTACAGTGAACCTGGTTGGAAGTTTCATCCACGTAGCAAGGACCACATGTATCTTCTTCCGCGAAAGCGTAGACCCAAGAAAGCTCAAAGCCATAGACAAGCTCATTGTGGATATCTTTGTAGGAAGTGATCTTCTTCTTCCCTTGTGGCGGTGGTGATACGAAAGCCGAGTAGTAAACTTGGCAGGACTCTTCCAAATCAGAGAACTTGAAGCCATTAGTATACACCACATAAGAGTAATTATTGCCTTTATTTTCTGGGAACAAAGAAGAGCTGTTTATGCAAGCAGCCGTGTCTATATAAGGACTCACTGCAGGTTTCTTACAGCTCAAGAACAATATGCGCTCCGAAATATGTAGAACACTAGAGTTTTCAAAACTAATTTCTGTTTCAAAAGGATATGTATCTTCTTCAGCGAAATATGTAATTGAAGGGAATGACGAGCAGTGATCATCCTGTTGGACATCGCGCAACGCGACTCTAATCGATTGCCTTCACGTAGCATGGTCTGGCATAACCAGGCATTGTAGTAATGTTGTTATCGCAAGAGAGCTTATAAAGTGGATCCCCACAGTTTTGAGGATCGGTTGTAAGTCGGAAAGGGAAGGTTATATTAGGGATATTACCACAGGAAGAAGAACAATTGCGAAGAGGCTTTTCTGAAGAAGAAGAAGATGAGATAGGACTGGTTTCATGGAATATGGTGATGATCATAATCAGAACAACATTAAGGACAAGGCGTCTAATAGGGATTTCCATTGACATAGGAGAGAGAAATATTTGAGCTTTGTATTGCCACAATGCAAATGCATAAATAATTCACATATGTATATATGTTTGGTAAATCAAGGTAAACAATCGGATGAAAGAGAAGAGTGAAGATTTTATTTATTTTATTTTTAAAGAAAATAAAGTTGTAGGCAGTTCATAGGGGAGAAAACTGAAGAAAAAATGTGGAGGTATAAATTGACCCAGGAGTCAACCATATTCTTATCCATTCAAAAGTGGGGAGACTTTTAAGAAGAAAACTTGTTACTAACTTTCGTGAAGAGTCAATACATTTTTAATCTATTTTTTAACTAAATAATATTAATGAATAATTTGAAAAATAGGCATTAAGTTACTTGATCACTCTTTTTCTTTCCTCTATATATCATACCAGACAAGATTAACAAAAACTAAAAAAAAAGTCCTTTTTTTCTCACTTAGTGTTGGCCTTTGCATGCCCGGCCCCAAAATTTCCCTATAAATACCCCCCATCCCCCCCACATTTTTCTCACTCAAACTCTCTCAATCTCTCTCAATCTCTCTCAATTTCTCTCAATCTCTCTCACAATTTTTTTAAAAACTATCACATTATCCTAAAGCTCTCTCTCTCTCAAATTCATCTTATTTTTTTTATAATGGATCCTTTTGGTTATAGTGGTATTCCCGTTGATGCCCAACACAATGTAGAAGAAGGGCAATTTCCCACTAATGAGTTTGTTATGCAGGAATCTACTAATCGGAGCCATGGTGGACGTACTGGAGGTCGTAGTCGCAATAGTGGGCGTGGAGAAGCAGCGAGTGCGACTGCGTCTGCGTCTGCATCGGCAAGGGTTGCAACCTCCAGGAGGAAATGCAAGCGTACCTCGACAGTTTGGGATCACTTTGACATAATTGACGAGGTGGATAATGAAGGTAACACTAAACATATAGCTCAGTGTAAATATTGTTTATCTAAATTACAAGGCAATACTATTCACGACACCGCACACTTGAGACGACACTCCGAAAAGTGTCTTCAAAAGCTTAGCCAATCTAGCGGACTCGAACTCCGCCAAACACAATTATCTTTTGATCACGCAACCGGTGGTCTAACCACTTAGAAATACGATCCGCAAGTAGATCGTATGGAAGTTGCGCGAATGATAGCTGCTTTAGATCAACCACTTAGTTTTGTAGAGCATCCTAATTGGCAATGATATATTAAGGTTGTACACAATCCTAATGCACAGTTCACTTCAAAAACTACTCTTAGGAAAGATTTATTAAAATTATTTAAAAAAGAAAAAGATGCATTAATAAACCTTTTACACTCGACTAGCGGGTGCGTTGCGTTAACGGCAGATATTTGGTCTGCCATTGCCAATAAAGATTATTTAGCTGTAACCGGACATTACTTTAAAGGATTTGATTTAGATAAGAGAATATTAGGTTTTAAATGTGTTTTAGGATCACATAGCACGGATTTAATATATAACACAATTTTAAATGTAATTGATGAATTTAGTTTAAGAGATAAAGTAATGGCTATAACATTAGATAATGCTAGTGCCAATACAAAAGCAATTGAATTTTTTGAAAATGATTTAAGTCTATTCGGTGACGGTACTATTTTCCACCAACGTTGTGCATGTCATGTAATCAATTTAATAGTTAAATCCGGTTTAAAAGAAATGGGTAATCACATTAAAAGAATTAGAGATAGTCTTGCATGGATTCAAGGTAGTAACCAAAGACAAGAAGATTGGTTTAGGTTCTTACAAGCATTAAATATACCTCCTAGAGCATTAGCGTTAGATATGCCTATAAGATGGAACTCAACTTATATTATGCTTCAACAATGCATCCCTTATAAGAATGCTATAACAAACTATATGTGTGCAAAATTAGGAGTAGGACATATAGATGAATTTGATTGGCAAATTGCCGAAGTTTTGTATCAATTTTTAGGTAGGTTTCATGAAGTTACTCTAAAACTTAGTGGAACATACTACCCAACATCACCTTTAGCTTTAGGAGAACTTTTAAGAATTAGTATTTTATTTCACGAATATAGGGAGGACCCAATCTTAGGAGTTCCTATTCAGTCTATGGAAAAAAAATTTAAAAAATATTGGTCTAAGTTGCCTTTGTTATATGGTTTAGGTACAATTTTTGATCCTAGATTAAAATTAGACGGATTAGAAAGTGGTTTAGAAAACTTAGGTGAATTTTTAGGCATCACTTGTACGGACCAATTTTCAATAATAAAGGCAAAAATATATGAGATCTATAGTAAATATGAGATTAGGTTTAGAAGCACAAACTCTAGAGTACAGGAACCGCAACAACAAGATGAAAACCCACATTCATTCTTAAATGTTTTCAGGTTAAAGAAGAAGAAGAAGACAACTCAAACGGAAGCTCTGAGTGGAAGTGGATCTTCATCAACAAGTGGCAGTGGCGGCAGCAGCTTCAATGAGCTTATGGCATACCTCAGTGAAGGCTTAGTAGTCGGCAATGTAGCAGAATCATTTGACTTATTTCAATGGTGGAGGGCACGGGCATTAACTTGGCCAATCCTAACTCGATTGGTAATGGATATATTTTCGATCCCAGTCTCCACTATTTCATCCGAACAAGCCTTCAGTACGACAGGAAGAAT